CGCCACGACTGGCACCGACCACCCTGCAGCCACCTGAGCCAACTCAACTCATCACCAGGTGGTGATCAGTTGACAGCTCTGCCCCTCTCTTTACCTGAGTGTCCAAGACGGAAGGCCACAGATCAGATGATACGATTATGAAATCGATCATCGACCTGTAGCCCCGGGCATGTTCGTACCATGTCCACTTATGGACACCCTTATGCTCGAACATGGTGTTCGTTATGGACAAACCATGCATTGCAAAGAAGTCCAATAACAGAACACCGCTCGGGTTCAGATTAGGGAGGCCGTTCCTCCCAATCACCCCCCTCCAGGTCACACTGTCATTGCCCATGTGAGCGTTGAAGTCCCCCAGCAAAACTATGGAATCCCCTCGTGGCGCGCTAACCAGCATACCACTAAGGGAATCCAAGAAGGCCGGGTACTCTGAACCGTCATTCGGCGCATAAGCGCAGATGACAGTCAGAGACTGACCCGAAGGTGCAGGGAGACAGCCCTCTTGTTCACTGGGGTAAACTCCGTTGTTAATGCACCAAGCTGTGGGGCCACCAGTAGCCCCACCCCAGCCCGGCGTCACTCACCCACCACAACTCCAGAAGAAAAGAGTGTCCAGCCCCTCTCCAGGAGATTGGTTCCAGAACCCACGCTATGCGTTGAGGTGAGCCCGACTATATCTAGTCGATATCTCTCAACCTCACGCACAAGCTCAGGCTCCTTCCCCACCAGAGAGGTGACATTCCATGTCCCTAAAGCCAGTTTTGTCAGCCGGGGATCGGACTGCCAGGGCCTCCCTTGGCCGCCACCCGATCCACAATGCACCGAACCCCTGACATTGCCCTTGCGGGTGGTGGGCCCACCTGGAGACAGTCCCGCGTGCCTCTTACGGGTTATGCCTGGCCGGGCCTCACGGGCCAAGCCCCGGCAACCAGGCGCCTGAATCATTGGTTTAGCCGAGATCTGTGTGTACTGGGCCGCATTCTTTTATCTAAAACTGAAGGCCTGTCGAGACTCATCTATCCATGTCATTCTTTGTTTCTGTCTCCCAAATATTAAAAAAATTCTAGCTCTTACATATTTAAGTTTTTTAAGAACAGAACCCATTATTTGCGCAAATCACAGTTAGTCAAGGATTATAAATATGGGGGTTTAAAAACCATAGACTTTGAATCTATAATTGCTGCATGAAAAAATGTCTTTCTCAGCCTTATTCTATCTGGTATCACATTCCTAACAAAATTTTTAATAAGGTGGGTGGGATTGATTTCTTGCTTACATGTGACTTCTTAATGCCAAAAATTTTCAAATTTTCACAAACAAGCATTGGTCTATGGGAAAATGCTTTTTACCGGATTGGTATCACAGTGGGCCTGCGTTCATAGTGGGGTACCGCAGGGTTCAATTTTAGGACCACTATTGTTCCTA